GTATTATCAAGCATACCACTCTGCAAAAGTCTGCTACATTTCCCTGTTTAAAATAATACTTTAACAATGTAAATGTAATTATATGAGTTTGTACAATAGACTTTGGTGTTTCACTAGAGTATGCCAACAGTACCTCTCTTTGATTGAATTCAGTTCCTCCTCTAGACGTTTCACCACAGGCCTGTGAGACAAATATACAGTGTGTAAAACAAATGTCTCAGTGAACAGATTAAAAAAAGGATGAACTAAAAAGAAGCAATGAGAAATTTGAGGCATTTACGAAAGATAAGAACAAATTTTTACTTTGCTTCATCTTGAAGTTTTTTTCCCATCTCTGCCAAACTGTTTAAAAACATAGAGAGGTTATTCACAATACACACAACAATTTTGAAGTATTAATTTCAGAGTATTAATGCTTATTGAGCTTTTTTAAAATGTAAAATCTTATGATAAGATGATCATATAGCAACATACAGTATAATTCATGCAGTCTATGCTGTGTCCAGCTGTGAAAACCATGTAAATGAAGCAATTTTAAACATTTCTGATCAGAAACATCAATGAATCCTTACCACAGCTCCTGTGGAGCTGCTGCTTGATTGCAATCTCTATTTTCAAGGTAAAAATGAAAAACTGATATCACAGATATTTAGGCAGATGATAAATGTCCAGAGAGGAAAATAACAAAAACTTAGCTGTGTACTTCATACTCTGTCATATCATTTCAAACTGAGGAAAACTAATAAATAAAACTTAAAATTTCATTTAGGCATTTTCATGTTTAATTAATTTTAACTAGTGTAACCTTTAAATCTGCCATTTTATGCAGATGATAAAGGTTGATATAATGTACTTACCTGCTTTGAGTACTCATCGTGGTGTCTTGTCTTGTTTAGTGAAAGTCTTTTTCCAGTCTGACACAAGTACTACTGTTACACTGAACTCCACAAACCAGGGGGTGGAGTTCAGTGAGGTCCGCCCCCTGGTTTGTCTATAAATACTCTGTAACTGCTGCTCTTCAGCACTGTTTCCACAATGGATAACTCATACATCATAGCGATAGACTTTGGCACTGCGTACAGTGGATATGCTTTCAGTCTGACAAAGAGAGAAGCAGAAACTGAACCTCGTTTAAAATACTGGGGTCAACAGGTTTCATTGAGGACTCCAAAGACTCCGACCTGCATCCTTTTTGATGAACATGGAAAATTTCTCAGCTTTGGTTATGAAGCCCAGTCAGTTTATTTTAGAACACGAGGTGATGAAGCCAGAAAGAAATTCTTCTTTGAATGCTTCAAGATGTCCCTCTATGGCAAAGTAAGTGCAACAATCTGTTTATCATTATTATTCTAATCTATCTCTCTCTATACACACACACACACACACACACACACACACATATATGTGTATATACAGAGAGAGAGAGAGAGAGAGAAATTTTCCATAGACAGTCAGAAATATTATAATTCTCAGTACATATCAGTACATGTGTCAAAGTTACTGAGGCTAAAACACAAAAACATGAAGGAGATTGTCCTTGCCCGGCTTTTTATAGCAGATAACCTTAAAAAAATTCTGCAATACAAAGAAAAACAGGAAGAAAACCATGAATCAACATTAACGGATGCTGCTGAATTCAAGCAAGTTACAGAGGTTTTATTAGAGACACAGCTAAGCCTTTCGCAATTTTACATAATTTTAAAAAGTTTCAATTTGTTCAGTATTGAACAGCAGAAATTAGGCTTTCTTGTCAGAAATAAGTAAAAAAAAAAAGCAGCGGACAGCGCTGTAAACAACGTTAGACTGGTGGGCAATAAGCAGAATAATGCAGAAAACAGATTTTAAGATGGGAAAGTGATCTTCTTTTGCTGCTGGTTCAATCAATTTTGTTGGGAGAGACAAAACCTGCAGCTCAGAAAGACGCAAAAAAGA